CTATGATGCTGCTTGGCCTGCTGTGTTCATCCAGCCCTGCACCTTGTTGTCTCGGATTCTCCAGCATCTGCAGTTCCTACTATCTCTGCCACAATACCTTTGTTGTAATATGGAGATCAGAACTATGCATGGACCAAACAAGGTTGAGTGAAGTTTAATACAGCCTCCACAGTTCATAGTTGCACTCCTCTAGAAATGAAGCCCAATATTATGGGAGCTCTGGACTGTCAGGTACTCAGTTCACTCAGTCGAGGGGATCGATTAATAAGATACATGTACCTTGAGCTTCCTTCTTGCATTGAACTTCTTCAAACAGTCGACTGTCTCTTGCCTGTGCATACAAGAGGCTACTGTAGCACGATGCTGAGGGGAAAAGAAAATAAATTATTATTTTAATAATGCAATAATGCAACGTTTCCTGAAGCATAAGCCTGAACTGCCCAATAAATGTGACAGGACAATGGTATCATTTCTGAAACAACACAGCTACTAAAGTCTAGCTGTTAGATGAATGGACAGCAAACTGGCTTTTCTTGCAAAAGGTTGTGGGTTCAAGCCAATTTCAGATACTGAGACCTGATTTTTTTTTCTTGACTGAGAGGTTTATTAGAATAGTTCAAGGTGTGAGGCAACTTCAGTTTTTTAGACAGATTGGAGAAGCTGGGGCTGTTCTCCTCAGAGGAGGAGATTTAACCGAGATGTTCAGAGTCTGGGCAGAGTTGACAGGGAGAAATAAATGCCACTGGCATAAAGGTCAAGAATCAGATGCTACAGAGGCAAAAGAAACAATAGGAATCAATGGCAACATGAGGAAAAATATTGGTTTAAAATTGTTTAGGATGAGGGAGGCACCTTCAGTGTATGGTGGAGGGAGATTCACTCGAGTGGGTAGGATGAGGGAGGCACTGATTGAGTGTGATGGAGGAAGATTTGATTATAGCATTCTTAAAAGAGGTGAAGAGAAACATTTGAATGGGAAAGAGTGGGGGACTGGGGTTCGCTGAGTTGCTCTTATAGACAGGATAGACAGAATGGCTTTCTCTGCTGTTAACTATGTCGTTACTTGAAGATGTCCTGAGGCTAGGAAACGGGATTGGGAAATACAACCTTTTGTTTCTCTCCCTACACCTCGAGTGAATGTTGGAATTTCTAGGGCACTACTTGGCCGGGGTTGGGGGTGTGTTGTGAAGAGGTATATTTTTCAGGCAACTGTCTGTGTGGAGTTTGCACATTCTGCCCATGTCTTTGTGGGTTTTGCTGGGTGCCACAGTTTCCTCTCTCAGTCCAAAGATGTGCAGGTTAGGTGGATAGGCCATGCTCAATTGCTCTGTAGTGTACAGGGGTGTGCAAGCTAGGTGGGCTAGCTGTGGAAAATGCAGGATTATAGGGATAGTGTAGGGGGATGGGTCTGTGTGGAATGGTCTTCGGACGGTTGATGTGGACTCGATGGGCTGAATGGCCTGCTGCCACACTGCAGCATTCTTGAACTATGAAAGAGGCCTGCTACAAACGAGCTAATCACACAACGACATTCATTTATGTCACATTTTCAACACGGTAAAACATCCTGAGGCGTGTTACAGAAGTGATTTTGAAAGAAAATATGAAATTGAGCCACATTGGGAGACATTAGTTTACATGATCAACAGCTTGGTCTAAGAGGTAGGTTTTAAACAGTGTTTTCAAGGATGAGAGGAGGATTAGAGGTTCCTGGGGTGATTTCCAGAGCTCATAGCCTAGACCCTTAAAGCCAACAGTGGAGCAATGAGAACAGGGTATGGGTAAAAGGTTAGAACTGGAGGAGTGCAAAATTCTCAGAGTGTTTGTGGGGTTACAGGGGGCAGAGAGAGATGAGACTGCAAGAGATTTGAGGATTTAAAATTGAGGTATTGCTGGGCTGGAAAACAATGTAGCTTAATGGGCACAGCAGGTGCTGGGTGGATGGGACTTAGTGACAGCACTAAGGGATGCATTGTAATAGATGCAGCTGGATAAGGTTATATGAAAATAGGCCTGTGTGATATTTCGTACTGGGGCTGGCTGTTGAATCAGATCAAGGACATGGTCTCAAACCTGCCTGTCTCTGCATCAAACAGAGAGACTCAACAAAACCAAGGCATTTCTTCATTAGTCATTAGACTGGGAATGCGTAAAATAAAATTAAATCGCTCGGTTATACAGAACTTAAATGTGCTTAAAAGAGGGGCATGTTATTGAAGCTTTTTGTCTTTCACTCATCAGGACAAATGCAAGAATACCAAATTTCAAATGATCACAATAATTTACACTACTCGAGAGAAGGGTGTTGATTGGTTGGACCATCAACTCTGATTGGCTAAGGTGTTTCTATGGAGAAAGCAACGATGAGCTCCCTGAACTTGTCTGCTGCTGGGAAATGGCCAATCAGAAATCACAAGTTATAAATTATACATTTATAAAAAGACAAGGCAGTTGTGGCAGACAACAATATTCAGTCAACCTTCCAGGATAGAAGTCCCAAGCTCTACTCACTTGTTTAGTCCCTTCCTGAATCCCATCTCTGTTGTGGTATTAGGTCAGGAGCAGATGTAAGTCATTCAGCCCATTAAGTCTATGCTGCTATTCAATGAGATAATGTCTAAAATGATAATCCTCAACTCCACTTTCCTGCCTTTTCCCCAATAACCCCTGATGCTCTTACTGATTAAAACTCTGTCTCAACCTTGAATATAGCCAATGACCCAGTTCAATAGCTCTCAGTGGTAACGAATTCCTTAGATCCACAATATTTTGCAAGAAGAAATTCCTCCTCATCTCTGTTTTAAATGGGTGATCTTTTAGTCTGAGAGATATGCCCTCTAGTCCTGAGCTCTGCCAAGAAACAACCTTTTCACAGCTACCCTGTTAAATCCCCTAGGAATCTGATATATTCTAACGAGGTCGTCCCTCAGTCTTCTAAATTCCAGTGAGTACAGGCCCAATCTATTCAGTCGCTCCTTGTAGGACAATCATTCCACACTTGCTATCAGCATGGTCAACCTTCTCTGGACTGCCTCCAATGCCAGTGTATCTCTCCTTAGATAAGAGGCCCAAAACTGTTCACTGTATTCCAGCTGTGGTCTGACCAGTCTGTTTAATCTTCCCATAGCCACATATACTCTATTCTGTCATGGCCTTTACCCACCCATTCCATGTCCTTGCCAATGGGGCTATGCCACACCATTGAACAGCTGTAGACGTACCGAGATCCAAGGGTGTTTGAGGGCCTCTCCGGCAGTGATGCGTTTCGCCGGGTTGATTGTCAGCATTTTGTTGATGAGGTCTTTCGCTTCGGGTGTCACGGTGTCCCACTCTGGAGACGGGAACTACCGAGAGAAAGGGGACGTGTTAGGAAACCAAGGAATGACTGTACAGCAGACATGTTTTATTCTGAGGACCCAGTGACGAGCCATAACTAAGACTGGGGTTTAAGAAGGAGATGGATCAATAAAATAGTTAAAGCCATGGCAGGATTCAAATCTGGGTCCCCAGAACATTATCTAGGTCTCTGGATTAACAATCCAGTGGTAATACTGCTCGGCCATCACATCCCCCCCTTATAATGGGACATGGTGGCACAATGGCAGTATCATTGAGTGAGTTGTCTACATACCCGGTTAATACTTTGGGAGGCATGGGTTCAAATGTCACCACAGCAGCTCATGGAATTTAAATTCAGTGAATAAATCCGGATTTGAAAGCCTGTCATCAATGACAATAGCCATAGAAGAACCATTGATTGCTGTAATAACCCATCTGATTCGCTGATGTGCTTTAGGGAAGGAAATCTGCTATTCTTATCCTGTCTGGTGTATATGTGACTCCAGCCCCAGAGCAATGGTGGTTGACCCTTAACTGAACTAGTCTGTAAACAATGCCCATGTCCCAGAAAGGAATTTTTTAAAAACTTCCACCTAAAACAATGCAGTTATTTAAAATCTCCAATACAGATAGTTTATAAACCATTGAAGAAGTTCCACCATTCATTTTGATAAACAAAAAGTCTGTCTCATTTTACAATCTCCACTCCAATAACTCAACTTGGTCAGTGATGGATGGTCCTCAGAGAGGGATCTGTTGACTTGACACACACGCAACTTAAGGACATGAATATTTGTGTTGAAATGGGGGGGCACAATGGAATTTTACCAGCTGCGCTTGGAGCTGAAGATAAATTGAGGTCAGATAAGTGTGCAATTGAACTTGCTGTCCCGATGGACTTATCGCTCCAGCTCCCATCAACGTTCTAGTTCAGCTGGCTCGCTCACCCTGACCTGGAGTAGTGCAGTTCCCCACTTCTCTGGAGACTACAACTGGACAGGGTGGGAGTGTTAGTGAGCTCTTGTACTCTTGGCAGAACCCCCTTAGCAAGAAAGGTAGGTGTTGGGCTAAAGGCCTCGTTGGTAGGCAATGTTTGGAATTAGACTAATGACTTGTTCAAGTAAAAAATATCTTTTATCAAAGAATGAAGACAGGACATACGAACAAGTTTAGGCATTGACTGTCAAAGACCTTACTGCATTCGATGTTCTAACTAACTAATGAATTAATTGACAATCTAAGTTCATGTGGATTGGATTAAGTAACTGGTTGTCCTGCTTTAGTGGGGGATCACCCACGTGTCTCTGACATAACAAGGAGATCCCAACACTTCCTCACTCCCTTCATCTGATAGACCAATAAACATGTCACAAGCTTTGATGCTGATACTTACATCATAAGCCCCAGCTTTGATTTGTTGGTATAGTCTGTGTTGGTCTTCATCCCAGAAAGGTGGGTAACCAACCAGCAGAATGTACAAAATGACACCTGGTGAAGATAAGACATGTGCAAAATGAATAGAGCTCAGTATATTATCCTGCCATCATAGCACTGTTCTGATTCAATCTTGTAACAGTCATATCTGAGTCTAGAAGTGAATGGGATATTAGTTCAACCTCCTTCATTGAAACGATAAGCAGTGGGAAGTCCCACAGGCAGCATATGTATCTGGATACTCATATCACATAATAGTTAGGCTCTCTTAAACAACAATCTATATTTATAAAATGTTTTTTCAGTAGGAAAACAACCTAATCGCTCAAACTTTGACATCAAGCCATAAAATAAGCTATTAAGATCAATCTCATGCCTGGACAGTGTAGGCTGTCCTGCCATTGTAGAAAATAAAAACACAAGTAGGCAATTCAGCCCTCCCCTGAGCCTGTCTTGCTATTCAGTTAGACCATGGCTGATCTGTATCTCCATTCTCTCTACCCACTTTTGCTCCATATTCTTCACCAAGGGGAGATCTTGGTGTCGTGGTAATATCACTGCGCTAATAATCCAGAGATTTAAGGTAATTTCCTGGGAACACAGGTTTATTCAAATCCCACACCAGCAGCTGGGGGAATTTAAATTCAATTAATCAATCTGGGATTATTCAGCTAGTCTCATTAGTGATGACGATGGAAACATCACTGATTGTTATTAAAAACCTAATGCTTATCCCCATTAGGAAATGGATGGTACAGTGGCTCAGTGGTTAGCGCTGCTACCTCACAACACCAAAGACCTGGGTCCAATTCCACCCTCAGGCAACTATTTGTGTAGAGTTTGCATGTTTTCCCCGTGTCTGTGTGGGTTTCCACCAGGTGCTCCAGTCTCTTCCCACAGTGAACAGTTGTGTAGGTTAGGTGGGTTGGCTATGCTAAATTGCCCGTAGTGTCCAGGGGTATGTAAATTAGGTGGATTAGGCATGGGAAATGTAGATTTACAGGGAAAGGGTGGGATGCCCTTTGGAGGTGGGTGTTGTTGACTTGTTGGGCCGAATGGCCTGTTTCCATACTAAGAGGGATTCTGTGATTTGCTATCCTTACCCAGACTGGCCTAGTGACTCCAGGCCAACAGCAATGTGGTTCACTCCCATCTGCCCTCTGGGCCATTAGGCATGGGCAATAAATACTGGCCTGGCCAGCAATACCCAAATCCTGAATTACAAAAAAATGATGGGGTTGGAGGGGACGACAAAGACAGGGAGGGGTGAGACTGTGAAGAGATTGCAAAATATGATATATGCTTTCCAACACAATGGGCTGAATGGGGTCCATCTGCATCATAAATGATTTATTTTCCTGTGTTTTAAAAGGAAAAATGTATTGAGTATTATATCACTTGGGCAGGAGGACAAAGCAGCTGGTAGCAAAACAGGAACTAATTTTGCATTGCATTAGATTTTCTGCCAATTTGTGATGCTCGGATGTGGATTTAAACTTCAAGCCAAGCCAGGCAAGATCAGTGCATTGAATCACCTCCCAGCACTTTGGGAGTACCCTCTGGCTGACTGAATGCGAGCTCTGCTGAGAGTCAGCTGAGGCATGACTGGCAGCTCCCATCACTCTGAGTTAGAAAATTGTAGATTCCCAATCCAGAGATTTGAGTAAAACAATGGATTGGTACACAGCCCTGTCAGATGGTTGTTACAGAGGGAACCCTGCGCTGTCAAAGGGGCAGCCCAGAGGGGCTGCACAGAGCACAGCAATGTCAGAGGGTCAGTGCTGAGGGAGTGCCGCACTGTCAGAGGGTCAGTACTGAGGGAGTGCCGCACTGTCAGAGGGTCAGTGCTGAGGAAGTGCCGCACTGTCAGAGGGTCAGTGCTGAGGGAGTGCCACACTGTCAGAGGGTCAGTGCTGAGGGAGCACCGCACTGTCAGAGGGTCAGTGCTGAGGGAGCGCCGCACTGTCAGAGGGTCAGTGCTGAGGGAGTGCCGCACTGTCGGAGGGTCAGTGCTGAGGGAGTGCCGCACTGTCAGAGGGGCAGTAGTGAGGGAGTGCTGCGCTGTCGGAGGGGCAGTAGTGAGGGAGTGCAGCAGTGGAGAGCTCAGCAAGGACTGAGAAAATACTGTAGCTTATGATGTTGTGGAGTATAGAGTAGAACAGCACAGAAGGAGGCCATTGTGCTTTCACTGGCTTTTTGACAGTTCAGTGCCACTGTCCTGCTTACTCTACAATTCTTTCCCACTTCGAAGAGCTATTGAATTCCCTCTTGACTTTCTTGTGTTTTGAGCATCGACTGAATTATTTGACCAACGTATCAAATCCAAAATCAGACTTTACTGTGATCCCAACATTGATGGTAATCTCTCTGCATGGAAGACCATCATGTCATTTCACCATCAGGAGATTCGCACGCTGCACTAAAACATCTCTCATTGTGGAAATTAATCTTTTCATGACTTCAACCAAAGCAACTAAATAATAATTATGGAATCTATTTCAACAATGCCAGATAATCTCACATTTAATTAATCACCAAACTCACAGGGAAGTGAGATTCCATGCTGTGGGAGTTTGGGCTTTCAGCATGTTCGGTTCAGGGAAGAACAGAGAGAGTGTGCATCCCATAGCCCAACCATACGAAGGTATTACTGAGTACAGTTCTGATATGTGATTGGGCAGAGGAGAGGAGGCTAGGAGCTCAGGAGTGAGAGGTCATAATGAGATAGCTAGTCTACTCTGTGGACTTATTTAATTTTTTCAGCAATTAGGGAATATCTATCCAAAAACCTGACCTCGGGAGATGGATTGTGTGGGTAGAATCTATGATAGGGTTGAGATGCTACCAGACCTGCTGAGTTTCACCAGCAATTTCTGTTTTTGCTTCAGATCTCCAGCATCCGCAGTTGTTTATTTCACTTGAGCGTTCATGGGCAATGGGAGGACAATTAAATGGATGGGGTGAGTCAATGTCAACAGGCTGTTGGGCAGCATGGTGTCTCAGTGGTTAGCACTATTGCCTCACAGTGTCAGGGACCTGGGTTCGATTCCAGCCTCGGGCTGACTGTCTGTGTGGAGTTTGCACATTCTCCCTGTATCTGTGTGGGTTTCCTCCCACAGTCCAAAGATGTGCAGGTTAAGTGGATTGACCGTGATAAAAATTGTCCAGGGGTGTGCAGGCTAGATGGATTAGCCATGGGAAATGCAGGGTTACAGGGACAGGGTAGGGGTCTGTGTGGGATGCTGTTTGGAGGGTCAGTGCAGATTGATAGGCTAAACGGCCTCTTTCTGCACTATTGGGGTTATATGGACTGTGTATGTTAATCTAGCTCCTTTTACAGTGAAAAATGTTTCAAGGAGCTTCATCTGAGGGGTATTGGTCAATCTTTGAGACTTAGCCACCTGGGTGAATATTAGGATAGGTGACTACAGCCCTGGTCAAAGAGATAGGTTTTAAATGAGTCTTTTAGGAAGGAGGGGCAAGTGGATATATGGACAGAGGATATTCCAGAGCTCACACAGCTGAAGGTCCTGCTCTCGGTTGTGTTGGATATGCAACAGGGCACAACTGTGGCATTGAAGAGGTCTTGTCAAGCTGGAGATTGCAGAGATAAGAAACAGCGAAGAGATAATGAGCAAGTCAGACCCTTTGGTGATGTTGGTTGAGAAATAAACATTGACAAGGACACCAGAGCATCTGAGTGCTACTACGAAATCACAGCTGTGTGATCTTCTACATTCATCTGTGAGGAAAGAAGGGACCTGTCTTATCTGAAAGCTGGCATTGCCAACAGTGCAGCTCCCCCTCAATATCGGCACTGGGAATGTCAGTCTGGGATAATTTGCTCAAATCGCAGGAGTTGCTTTTGAAACCTTCAGGGATAAGGGTGTTACCAAGGGAGGATGTTGGGGGTTGGTGGTCTAGAACCAGGGACACAGTTTCAGGAAGTGCATGGGGTAGACCATTTAGGACAGAGTGAGGAAAAATCACTTCACTCAAAAGTGAAGTGAAGCTGTAGAATTCTCTACCACAGAAAGCTGTGAAGTCAAGTCACTGAACATATTCAAGGAAGGAACAGATTCTGTTTTGATTTCAAAAACATCAGGGGAAATGGGAAGAAAGCATGAGATAGAGCATTAGCCATGATCATATTGAATGGTGGAGCAGGCTTGAAAGGGCGATTCCTGCTCCTGGTTTTAATGTTTACCCGGTGATCTACTTTTGAGGAGGGATCTAGCAGCAGTGTAGAAATTCACTCAATATGTAAACAAGCTTAAGGAACACTCAGCTTCGATCACCTCATGTCCCTTGAGGAACAGCTTGTCATTCGGGAAACTCCTAGTTCTACAATAATAAAGTTCTTGGTCTACACAAAAAGGGTGGTGAAATGATAAATATTTTTCTTCCTTTCACACAACAAGGAGTTGCTGTGAAAATATTTGCCAAGACTCTTCACTCCCAGTGTCATATGCTTAATTTAGCTCCATGACACCCACAAAGCTCGCACAATTTTACAACCCCTGAGGACGGCATCAGCTGCTTACCACAAGCCCACAGATCCACAGGTTTAGCATAGGGATCCTTCCTTAATACTTCAGGTGAGAGGTACCCAGGAGTTCCGGCAAAACCTGGAAATGAAAAAGAAGAGAATGAATGGACGAGTTATTGGGATCCTCAAGCAGATTAAATTAAACGTCAATAAAACATAAATACCCTGCAGTTCTGGCAGCCTCTGGGAGAGAATAACAGCATTAGCATTTCAAATTGAACACAACTGATCTTCCATTGTGAAGAAGAGTCATATCCATCTGAAAATATTAAACGTGCTTCTCTCCCCACAGAGCAGTCAAGCAATTCTATCAGAGTCTGTTTTTATTCCAGATTTCCAGCACTGGTAGTATTTACTTTTTTATTAAATTAAGCAATATTCATTACTACACTTTAATTCCTTTGGTCTTTCTCGAAATATCTGTTGCTGCTTTGGGAAGAAGTCCTGTTTGTGCTCGTGAATGGCATTGGCTAACAGTCTAGCAACTCCTTCATTTTAAAATTCTCGTCGTCGTTCTCAAATCCTTCCATGACCTCACCCCTCTGTATCACTACTGCTCCCTCCAAGTCTGCAGCCTCTGAGATATCGGTGCTCCTTGAATTCTGGCCTCTTGCTCACTCCCCCATTCCTCTATTTTAATTGTTATTGGCGGCTGTCTCTTCAGCTCTTTGGATCCTAAGCCCAGGAATTCCCTCCCTAAACATCTCCAGCTCTCTCTGTTTCCCTTTCTTTCAGATGGCTCTTTAAACTAACCTCTTTGGCCAAGCTTTTTCTCATCTGTACTAATATCTGCTTAGGTGGCTCGAGGTCAAACTCTCCATTAACCCTCCTGTAAAGGCTTTGAGATTTTATTCTCTATATTAAAGGCACTGTATGATTGTAAGTAGTTGTTAGCGAAATAAAATTATGATTTGAGCTCTATTAACAACATTGAGGCTTCTCTGGATCCAGAACACAGTTATATCAGATGCCCTTGCTAGTCTGTTTCTGTTGTGTGGTTATCACATAACTTGGTGTGATTAATTGCACAGCAATGTGCTATTTATCTTGGAACAAAAACTCATTGCAGAGAATTTGCAACACAAGCCATTCGGCCCAACTGGATTTTCTACTGTCTTTCTTTTGGAGTTCCTTAGAACCTATCTGTTCAATAGTGGGGCCACCAATCCAAATATCTCCTTCTCCTTATTCAGATTTTTTTCTGAAGAAGGGTCCCGACCTGAAACATCAACTTTCCTGCTCCTCTGATGCTGCCTGGCCTGCTGTGTTCCTCTAGCTCCACACTGTTGTCTCTGACTCCAGCATCAACAGTTCTTACTGACTGCAAACATCTCCTCACGCGGTTTCAAATTTCAATTGTTAGTGCTGCAGGGCATCATCTCAGGACATTTAATACATTAAAGGGGCTATATAGATGAAATGTGTTGTTGTAGAAGTGGAACTCAATTGCCAACCAACTTTTTAAAAAGCTGATTTTTTAACAAAAAAAAATTATCAGTGAAAGTGTCCATTCAGCTGTTGGTTTGCCATTAACACCCAACTTTTTATTTTTATTCTTTTATGGGAAGCAGGAGTAAGGCCATTTGGCCCGTTGAGCCTGCTCTGCTATTCAACTGGATTACGCCTCATCTCTTACCATGAGACCCATTTTCCTGCACTGTCCCCCTATCTCTTGATATTTTTATACTGAGTAATCTATCAGTCTCGGAAGATATTCAATGACTGAGCTTAAACTGCCCTCTGATGTACAGAATTCCCACCCTCTGAGTAAAGAAATAACTCCTCCTTCCCCTTATTCAGAGACTGTGGGCACTGGGCTTTAAACATTCGCCCCGCTACCAGAAGCATGTCTGTATCTACCCTGTTACTCTTCTAGACTCGAGGGAATACAGGCTCAGTCTCCTTAATCTCTCAACATCACACACATGAAAGGTAGCTACCAAATGCTGTCTGTTGCCTGACGAATTGTACTCCAAAAGGAGATTACAGCTTTAGTATTGTCCAGAAATCAATGTTTTTAAAAAAATCAATCTACCTTTATAAATACTGATCAACAAAGGAATCTTTTAGGTAAATGACACTGCTAAACATGGAGAATTTATATCTTGCTGTGCTGCTGGTGGATGTGGATTAACAAAGGCACATGAGAACTTGGATCTGTCCACTGTATATGCGACTAAGACGAATTGATGCATTTAAAGTGAAGTCAGAGGGAGAGAGGATTGTGTTGGTGGGATGAGATGGAAGCAAAGTGGGGAGAAAAGGTTTAAGGGGCTTGGGACAGTGCAGGAAAATGACGTTGAGGTAGGAGATCAGCCATGATCATATTGAATGGCATTGCGGGTTTGAGGGGCCGAATGGCCTACTCTTGCTCCTGTTCCCAAGTTTCTACTGTGCCAAGGGGAGTCATACATTAGCACAATCCAACCCAGACCAGTGGAATAATAAACTCGAGAAATGTCTCCTCACTTTAGCTTGAAGGTGTAATGCTGACATGGTCCTACTGGGCTGAATGGTTTGTGTTGTATAGAACGTACTCCATTTTTGATAGGCATTAAGGCTAAAGAGTTGCAGAGGTTTGCAGGGACCTGAGTAACTTCACAGTTGAAGCAAATCCTATTCCACCTGTACCTCCCCCAGTGGCAGCGAAAACATCTCCATTGACCCATGGCCCTGGAAATTGGCCGGCTTCACAAGGGCTGGATTACCAGGCGTCTCTAGCAAAGGGGGAAATTTGATTTGCTCCCATCATGGATAATATGGGGCATTCCTTTGACTTTGACCACTCACCAAACCAGGCCTGTTGGTCCCCTTCAACTTCTATAGCCAAACCAAAATCCGCAAGTTTCACAGCAGCTCCTTTAGACTTGGATGCGAGCAGCAGGTTTTCAGGCTGAGGTCAGGGAACAGAGAGACAAGACTGACAATTAAACATGGAAAGAGCAAGGGAGAGACTTAATTCATGAATCGTAGAATGCCTACAGTGTGGAAGCAGGTCATTCATCTCATTGAGTCCACACTGAACCTCTGAAGAGCATCCCACCCAGATCCAACCTCCCCAACCCTGTAACCCTGCATTTCCCATTGTTAACCCACCTAGTCTGCACATCTTTGGGCTGTGGGAGGAAATTAGGGCACCAAGAGGAAACCAATGCAGACACGGGGAGAAAGTGCAAACTCCACCCAGACACTCACCCAAGGGTAGAATTGAGTTGGGGTCCATGGTGCTGTAAGGTAGCAGTGTTAACCACTGAGCCACTGTGCTGCCTTAAACCTTTTATCCACTCACACTCCAGGTTCGCTCAATTCAACTTGCGACAATGAATGCTTGTTCCCCGAAACTAATCATTGTAAATGCCAACTCCTCCAGACTTGATTACATTCCCTCTTAATTTTTTCCTCATTATCTTACTCTCACAAATGTTGAAACATCAGTTGTTTGATGTAGATCATGTTGTGTTTAAACCCCACTCTGGAGTCTCGAAGCCCAGGATCCAGGTTGAAGGGTCTAGGCCCGAAACGTCAGCCTTCCTGCTCCTCTGATGCTGCTTGGCCTGCTGTGTTCATCCAGCTCTACACCTTGTTATCTCTGACACTCCCTTCCTGTTTAGCTGGAGTGCCGCACAGTCAGGGTACTGTCCTGCTATCCCGAGACCTCACCTCCCCTCACAGATAGGCATAAAAAGAATCCCATGGCATGGTCATTTATTCCATTGCTGTTTGTGAGAGCTTGCTTGGCAGAAATTGGCTGCCCCTTTTTTAAATTTTATTTTTTTCTTGGGACTTGGAGGTCATAGCAAGGCCATAAGACATAGAGGCAGAATTAGGCCATTTGGCCTATTGAGTCTGCTCCACCATCTCTCAAACCCGTTCTCCTGCCTTCTTATTGTAGCCCTTGATCCTCTTACTAATCAAGAATCTATCTACCTCTGCTTTAAATACACTCAATGACTTGGACTCTGTAACCCTCTGTGGCAATGAGATTCACAGGTTCATCACTCTCTGATGGAAGAAATTTCTCCTCATCTCAGTTCTAAAGGGGCATCTTTTCATTCTGAAGTGTCCCCATTGTGTCCTAGTCTCTCCTACTATTGGAAACATCTTCTCCACATCCACTCTATCGAGGCCTTTCACTATTCTGTCAGTTTCAATCATATTCCCCCCTTATCCTTCTAAACTCTATTGAGTACAGAGAGTCCTCAAATGCTCCTCATATGACAAGCCCTCCATCCCTGGGATCATTTTTGTAAACCTCCTCTGGATCCCCTCCAATGCCAGCAAATCCTTCCTTAGATACGGGCCCAAAAATGCTCACAATCTTCCAAATGCAGTCTGACCAGAGCATTATACAACCTCAGCCCTGCATTTGTTGCACCTCCTTAATTGTACTTGTGAAGGTAATGGTGAGCCACCTTCTCGAACACAATTGAATGGCTCGCTGGGCTATTTCAGAACGTGTTCAGTATCAATGCTGTTCTCTGGAATGGGAGCCCAGCCCTTTCCCTTATATTACAACAGTGATTACATTTCAAAAAGTACTCTATGGGCTGCACAGTGCTTTGGGACATCCTGAGCTCATAAATGGTGCTACAAAAATGCAAGCTTTTTTGTTTCTTTGCTCGTGCATTTTAACAGAACAGACCCGAATGTGATGACAACACTTGGCACAGGATCTAGACCCGGAATTCTGAACACTCAACACAACCTCCCTGGGGGAAACACAGATGTTTGCTTGAATTGCCTTGATATAATTGTCTTCCAAAGGAGCAAAAACAGTCAATTTCTAAGCTACAGAGTACAAAAAAAATTCACATACATAATCTGCTAAAAAAATCCTACTAGTATTTTATCAACTCTCAGTGTGTTTTATTTCCTTCAGAGCCATGTCCCTCTCGAGCTCTACAACACCCTTCAGTCCTACAACTCCAATTCTCTTGAGCACCCACTCCACCATCAGTGGCATGTCTTCAGTTGCTTGGGCCCTAAGTTCTAAACTTCTCTCCTTAAAACCTCTTCACCTCTCTCTGACTGAGCCTTTGGTCACCTGCCCTAATATCTCGTTTGAAGGCAAAACTGTCATTCAGTTTAAGCTCTAGCAAATGCCTTGGGATGTTTTGCCACCTGAAAGGTGCTGCATAAATGCAAGTGGTTGTCTGTGTTAACTGAGCAATTGGGGTGAAAAATACAGGAGGAGACATCAACAAATGGCAGGTGGCAGTGAAATTAACAAGTCTGTTGCTTAGCGCTTAAATTTCTAGTCTGTGGGCCTGTCACATTCTGCATTCTGTGCAAGCTCATCTACTGTAAATGCACACAGTGCAATCATCAGATTATCAGCGAAACAGGAGCAGACCATCTTTCACCAAGCTATTATTTGGAATTCAATTAACATCTCTGACACACGCTGGCTGCATAATCCTTCCTTCCTTCCTTAGAAACATACAAATTACTTTGCATTACTTTGCAGCTCTGCCCTTATCAACATGATACAAGGGCTGAAGAGTTTTGAACATTTCTCTGCAGTTGTCCATAATGATTACATCAAACCTGCTGCAATCCAGATACTGTTTAAAATAACTGCTTTAAAAGGCTAGATTAGTGCCACATGGAGCACAGCCAGAAGAGCAAGACATAGCTAAATCGAAGCTGACTGCTCTGAAAAAACTACACCTACGGCACATTGTGTCTCCTTTCAAATCATCTGTCAAAACCACACTAATCAGGAGAGCAGCTGCAGCCCATTCGGTCCCTCAAACCTGTTCTATCATTCCAATTGATCATCATCTGATCTGTATAAAGTAGAATCACAGTCCAAAGATGTGCAGGTTAGGGTGGATTGGCTATCCTAAATTGCCCATAGTGTCCAGGGATGTGCAGGCTGGGTGGGTTAACCATAGGAAATGTGTGGTAGCAGGGATAGGGTGTTGGGGGAGGGGGGGTGGTGGCATGTGGTCTGGGTGGGATGCTGTTTGGAGGGTTGGCGCAGACTCAATGGGCCGAATGGCCTCTTTCTGCACCATAAGCATTCTATGATTCTATGATTTCTAACTCCTAAAGCACAGAGCAAAGCCATTTGGTCCATTGAGCTAGTTCTGATTCTCTATAAGTGAAGCGCACTTCCCCACCCTTTCATAAGAACGTAAGAATTGAGAGCAGGAGTAGGCCATTCAGCCTGTTAATCTTGCTCCACCATTTAATACGATCATGGCTGATCTCATCTCGACCTCAACTCCACTTCTCTGCCCTTCAAACCTTTACTAATTTCCCTATAACTATGCACTTTTTTTCCTATCAAATAAATGCCTCAGTTGAACTCCACCACATTCTCAGGTAGCGTATTCTAATTTGTAACCACTTGCTGTGTTAAAAAAAAAAGATTTTTTCTCATGGTTTTTCTTTGCCAGTCACTGTAAATTAGTGTTCTGTGGCTCTCGATCCTCCACCCAATGGGAACAGTCTCTTTCTATCTACTCTAAGTGGGGTCCTCCTGGGTATTGTTGTATAAGCAATCCCTTCCACTGATCACTATGTTGTATGAGACTATCAGCATTCGTACTCACCATGAGGTGGGTCCACTGCCTTTTGTAGGGTAGGGATCTATAGGGTCTGGTCTGGTAGAGGTAAACCACATGCTAGTCTAATCAGAAGAGACAAATGCTCAGAAGAAGACGTAGTTTATTGCTTACAAAAACAGAAGTTGCTGGAAAAGCTCAGTGGATCTGGCAGCATCTGTGGAGAAAAAAATCAGAGTTAACGTTTTGGATCCGATGACCCTTCCTCAGAACATTAACTCTGATCTTTTTCTTCACAGATGCTGCCGGACTTGCTGAGCTTTTCCAGCAATTTCTGTTTATGTTCCTGATTTACAGCATCCACAGTTCTTTGAAAGGGTTGTTGCTTGATAGCAACAAATGCAAGTTACACTAGTGTGACAGATTTTGATACAGAGATGATAAGGAGGACATGGTGGTTAGGATTTACTCCTTCAGGATCCTAAGCTGTTCTCCCACCAATTCCATACAACATCATGTGGGTGGTGCTTAAGGCACTCCTCAGTATTTACACTTTCAGACCTTTACACATTTGTTCAAGAAATATGAAGGCCTCTCTCAAACCTCCTCTCAATGTTGACTCAAAGGAAAACAGTCCACACAATTTGAATCCCTCAACTCTGTCACTCCTCCCGAAAATCTTTTCTGCACTCTCTTTAAATCCTTCCTACAATGTTTCATTTTCCCTAAAATTAGACACAATACGCCAGCTGAGGGTGAACCACAGCTTTATAAATGTTCAGTATAACTTATTGCATTTGAATTCTTAATTATAAGGTGCAGGATTCCAAATACTTTACTCTCCAATTTCTCATCCTGCTCTGCCACCTTCAATGATCTGTGTTCATATACCCCAGGTCTTTCGTTCCTGAAAACCCTTTAGAAATGCACCCTCTATTTTCTATTGTCTATCTTTTCCTACCAGCAATTCCACACTTTTATGTTAAACTTCATCTGTCGCATGTCCACCTAATTCATGAATCCATTTCCTCTTGAAGTTTTATTACCGTCTAGCACAATAATTTCAAGTTTTGAATCATTTGCAAGTTTTGAAATTTATGCCTTACACATCAAGTTCAAAGCACTGACATGTACATGGTTGTTCTACAGGACTGGAGTATTGCTGAGAATACATTTTTCATCTTACACTCTTCAGGTCAATTCACAAGAAATTCTGCATAAAGGAAAAAATAACATTTACTCTGTATGAGAGGAGAATGCTGATTAGTTAGCAAATGGACTCTGATTGGTCGTGTTGCAATGGAAATATACCAATTAATGATGTCTGACAGTTAACTGCAAAGCTGATTGGTCAAGGCAGGGCCCTAAGAAATGAGCCAGA